GCCAGGAAGTGAGAGGACCGGATGCCATGATCTTAGTTTTCTTAATGTTGAGTTTCAAGCCGACTTTTGCACTCTCTTCCTTCACCTGCATCAAGAGGCTCTTTAGTTCCTCCTCACTTTCTGCCATTAGAGTGGTATCATCTGCATATCTGAGGTTGTTGATATTTCTCCCAGCAATCTTAATTCCAGCTGGTGATTCATCTAGCCCAGCCTTTCCCATGATGTGCTCTGCATATAAGTTAAATAGGCAGGGCGACAGTTTACAGCCTTGCTGAACTCCTTTCTCAATTTTGAATTACTATGAAGTAAATATTAAGGAATAGTCTGATCCACTGTCCTCACCATTACCACCAAAGTTTCCTTCTTTCCACCACTTTCTGATGTATTTTACTTTGGTCTTTTAATGCTGCATTTGTACATCTCTTGACTGCCTTTCATGTTATTTTGGGAATCCAATTTATTTTTTCCCATGCAAATACATAGAATTTTTAGGCTGAGTTTAACCTAATGGTGTGTTCAGAAGTTGTCAGCTGGATCATGTAGACACTTCTCATACCAGCTCAGGCAGTCCTGATAGAGGTGCAGGGCTGTTTTGGGAACTGCTCACTTGATCTAGACAAAATACACTGATAAAGACCGGACGCTACCAAGGAATGGCAACCATGCCACAGCAGCTCAGTGTATTGTACCAAAAGTGCATTCTTTGCATTACAAACAAAGGACTAAATCTATCCTCATTGCAAATGACAGAGATTTTTTATTGTTCCTCCCACCCTATTTTTCCTTGATATACTCCATGGTTTTTTACCCTCATGATTACATCCCAGTAAATACTTGTGTACAGTTTTAGTTGTATGCAGAATTTATCCTACAGAGCGTTATCTTGTCAGACATACATCACATGTGAAGTAGTCTTTTACCTGTTGCTCTTGTTGTTGAAAATGTTATGATTTCATAGATACACATGTTCTCAAAGAAAAAAAAAACCAAATCCAACTCTGTGCTTGGGATATGGCCTCATTTGAAGATGTATTTGGATATCAAATACCAGACACATGGATTGTTGGTTCATATTTTGGGGAAAACATTAAGGCTTTTCTTCCCTTTCTGTCACATAAATTTTGGATGTAACTATGTGGAAGTTCTTGGTGAGCAATTCACACATTTATTTAATTTTCATGTTATGTAAACATTCCAGGAAGGAAAAACTCTTCAGCACTAGGAAATTTAAAACTGAATGTTTGAGGTATGCAGAAGGTTTGCGTATCATAAAATCTCTTCCCATTCAGGCAAGAGATTTTATGATATGCAAACCATGCTTGTATCCTCCCCCTCTAACATGAAGTAGGAGTATGGTAGAATAATATTAATTCTTCCTTGAATTAAATTATCTTTAGATATTACTTGTCCTGGTTGTCCTGTTTCTTCGAGAAATGCTTTTGATCATGGCTCAGTCCTTTCCTTTGTTGAGAGAGTACTATTAGTCTGTGAATCAATATTATAATCAAATCTAGCATCTAGCACAGCTCAGCTTAGAAGAAACTAGCACAGCTCAGCTTATGTTTATTATCACTTAGATAACATTGGGAAATGTGTGGCTCAGGCTGTGTCTGAGGCAGTTAGAGGGAAGAGAATGCAAAGTGGTTGTTGGAATGGCACACCTGATCCCAAAGAGGAAAAATACGCACAATTGTTATTAACAAATGTCAGGCTCATTTGCTGACTTACTTACTCTTCTGCTATTAGCACATTTGTTTTAAAGATAGAAATGTTAAGATGACTTGGGAAAACTGGAGATTCTATTGCTTAAAGCTGTCAAGCCAAAAAGAAAAGAAAATTTGGAGGAAAGTTGTAAACCCTGGGTGTGTTGGGGTTGTTATGAACCATATCTTGTGGCATAGCTCTGCACTTCTGCAGTTCAGCCATGCATAATTTATTTCCAGGAATTCTCAGTCATTTGTGTTAGATATTTACCTTCTGCAACAAAGCTGACTGTGCTGGAAGAAACTTAGGTTTGCCACTTTTCTGGAAGATGTAGGCAAAAGCACTGATGGACTCGATTTTTAAAAAATGCCTAGTGGTAAAGAGATGTTGGGACTGAGTTACAGCTCCCTGGTTAGTTTGGTTTGAAGATAACCACATGGTAACCCTAAGGCAAGGATTCTGCATGAGGATGGTATATGATAATGGCTGGTGTGAGGATACAGTTAACAGCTTCCATGCAAAATTGGACAGCAAACAAATGTTAATGGGCACAACGTTTTCTTCTTTTAAGTTATTCCTTGGCAAGGGAAGTCATGTTTCCTTCATAGAACTGGTTTGGATGTAATGGCAGCATCTGATGGTATATCTTGGGTTAATTAACCCATTACTTGTGGGGACATGTGCTATGGGAAAACCGATTTCATTTTGCAGCAATAACCTATGAATACACCATTTGTAAGTTGTTAGTATGTTGTTCTAACCCTTTGGTTAACTCTTCAGGTTAAACCCACAGTTTGTTCTTAGCTAACCCATGGTTGGTTATTGTTTAATAATCCATAAAGCTAATTCTCTTGTTTGGCTTTTTTGTTAGGGCTTTGTCCTGAAAAGCAGCATAAACAACAAAAATGTTGAAAAATGTGTTTCAAAACTATTAAATTTTTAAAATATTCAACAATGGTACTGCCCTTAGACCAAATTCCTACTGCTACTTCATATCATAAAGTTGTTTGTCTTTATTTTTCCCCTCTAGCTCCTCAGAGGAACTTTGAAATTGCTTTCAAGATGTTTGATCTAAATGGTGATGGAGAAGTGGATATGGAAGAATTTGAACAGGCAAGTTTTATTTTATTTTTCCTGGAGATTTATCTTGCAACACAATCAAGCAGTTAGTCGGCCTCTCCTCTTCTGATCTTATCCGTAGCACCCTTTCATTCTCCTTTTTTAGGAGAAAGCACAAAAGCCGTGTGAGTGATTCTTTCTGTACAGGGCCATTGGAGGAAAATTAGATACTCATTTTGGATGTTTTGTAACTGTGTGCCAAGCCATTCTTATTTACAGTGTTGCACTGGAGCTGCCACACTATTTGCCTGAAAAACAAAAGGTTGGATCCAGATGCATGCAGAGAAAGAATCCTTCCAGGTGGATAAAGATGGGAAGACAGGTTTTGCTCATTCCTTTCTTCATTCTCCTCTGGAGAGTTGGGAGAACCTCCTTAACCCTGAATGAAGCCCTATGAGAACTGCAGTGGGAAGGAGGAATGTATGCAAATCATAGCTCCTCTTCTTCCAGGAGGGAGCATCTGTTAGATCCCAGCTGATTTTTCCCAACAGAAGGAGCCCTTTCATTAGTGGAGGGGCAACTCTGGATCCAACCCAATGCCCTGATTCAATTCATAGTGATATTCAGTGCATGGTATTGCAAACAATCAAATGAAAGTTATACCTCTTCGTGAGAACACTGTCCACTCACATCTGTGGTATGAGGGCAGGGTCCAAAGTCATCTATTGTGTGACAGTTGTGTGAATTAGCCCCAAGGATCACTTTGAATGTCACTTTTTGAGTATAAACTTTTATATCAACAACATAAGATAGTACCAACGCATATGAAGGCTAGTGAATGTTCAGTAAAGATGTGATGTCAAGTAATTTTTACACTTTGAAAAACACTTTATGAGTTATGTTTATAAAACAGCCTTCAGTAAACACTTGCAAAATGTAAATTATGTTTTCTATTCACTTCCTTTCTGAGAAGCATTTGTTTCTACAGATCTTTTAATATTCACATTCAGTAAAATCAGACAAACACAACAGACTTTCAGAGATCAATGAGTAGGATCTGCAATGAAGTGCTTCTTTGACTGGGTCTCGATGACACACCATTGCTTGTTGGTTTTTAAAAACTGTGATGAGTTGTGGCACCTGTGGATGCCAAATTGCACACGTAACTCTTGCTCAGAGGTTGTCATGTCCTATGAACCTGGTGAGTGTGGGCTGTATGAGGGTTAAACCAGACAATGGGGTGTGTGAAGATTGTTCAGCTGTCACATAACCTACACTTGCTAGGGTTGTATGATACAACAAGCCCAAAGTGACTGTTATATATTCAGGGATGATTGCAGATGCCACAGCCTCACTGTGGGTTGAGTAACACATGGTGAACAATCATGTTCTACAAACAACCTCAAGTACATTCTCGGCTCTAGGAAGCCTGCCCGCTGTGCTCCTTTCAGCAGGCCACTCCATTCTGTTCTTGCACTCCCGGTTTTCTTTTTCTTTTGTGACTGGTATGCAGTGTTCCACAGCTGTTGAGAATGTTAGGTCCGCATGAGGCTGGTTTTGTGTGTGGGTGTTACAGGGGAAATTTGAGGGAATTGCTTTTGCAGTTTTTACAAAGACTTAGCAAATCTTTTGGTTCCTCCAAGCATGCTGACACCTTTCTCTTGCTCCTTAGCAGCTTCATACTCACTGGCCATGTACACAGTCACCAAAAAAAGGAAACCACAGTAGCTTCTTTTCCCTGGACTGCATATGCCAGTTGCATGCCTGAGATTGGTCTATTTGCCCTCATGGCACACAGGAGTGGTAAGGCGTACAGTGGAGGCGGCTTCCAAACCATCCCAGAACACATGACTTATAGTTTGGAAGCCATCCTCTGCCATGCATCTGACCAGGTCCAAATGACACAGCAGCCTGCACACCACAAGGGTAATTAGGCCAATCATCTGGAGCACAATTAACCTGTGCGGGGGCAGGAAGTGAGGGAAAACACCATGGGAACTGCACATCTGAGTTTGCTATAAGAGGAAGTGATTATTCAAGTGCTAACCAAGTAGGTAGCAAACAAAAACTGTCACCACTAAATGAGATGGCAAGTTGCCAAGAAAAACAAATCTTTCTTTTCCTTATATGTTGGTAAACAATTTAATTTATTTCATTTTAAATTAGGGGAAAATGCCCTTTGGTTTCTTTTCAACTGCTATTTCCTTGGCAAAATGTTTTAAGCATTTTGAAACTCACAAAATGCTTTTAATTGTGAATGAAAGAGAACCAGCAGGGTCAAATCTGTAAAGAGGGTGGAGGTAAAAGCATTTCAAGAGAAAAGGAAGCTGTTAACCTGGCTGCACAACAAAATAGAAATAGAACCAAAGGGAATAGATTTGGCTTACTGTTTGTCTCAATTACTGCTATGATATACTAGCATGAAACAATCTTATTCTATTATTTGTAATTGTGTGGGTTTGTGATTCAGTGGGTTTTCATTTTCTTTGTAAACACAACCAGTTGAAAAGGCATACTAGTGCATAATGAAGTATGCGCAAGTCAGAACACCTTAGCTTGATACTGTATCTTAATTTTTTATTATTATTTTTAAATTGCAAAGTGCCCTGTTTTCTTCCTATGTCTTTACAAGACTTTAGCAGTTCTGGAAAAAGGTGAAAGGTATATGGGGAGCAGATGTGAAAACAGTATTTTTTAAAGCTGTGTGTGAGGCACTGTGTTTCTACATGCTTTATGGAAATGGCAGTAATGCTTTTTCAGTACTTATTATGAACTGTCTAAAGCTGTAAAAAATTTCGGAGAGGCCCAGCTATTCAGATTGCTTCTTGTCTTGTTCAGTCGCAGAGTCATGCCCGACTCTTCACAACCCCATGGATCACAGCACTCCAGGCTCCCTGTCCTCCACTGCCTTGCGGAGCTAACCCAACCCCGCCACACCAATGACTCCATCCAGCCACCTCAACCTCTGCCATCCCCTTCTCCTTTTGCCTTCAGTCATTCCTAGTATAACAGTCTTTTTCAGTGAGTCCTTCCTTCTCCTTAGGTGGCCAAAGTATTTGAGCTTCAGCTTCAGTATCTGTCCTTCTAAAGAACAGTCCTTTAGGATTGACTGATTTGATCACTTTGCAGTCCAAGGGACTCTCAGGAATCTTTTCCACCACCACAATTCAAAAGCGTCAATTCTTCAGCACTCCACCTTCCTTATGATCTTCATTATACCATGTTTTGGTGTTAATTCTAGAAGGTGCTGTAGGCCTTCATAGAACTGGTCAACTTCATCCTCTTCAGCACCACTGGTTGGGGCATAGACTTGGACTACAGTGATGTTGAATGGTTTGCCTCGGATTCGAACTGAGATCATTCTGTCATTTTTGAGATTGTACCCCAGTACTGCTTTTCCTACTCTTTTATTGACTATGAGGGCTACTCCATTTCTTCTAAGGGATTCTTGCCCTCAGTAGTATATATGGTGGTCATCTGAATTAAATTCACCCATTCCTGTCCATTTTAGTTCACTGATTCCCAAGATGTCAATATTCAGTCCTGCCATCTCTTGGTGATCCATTTCCTTCTCCAGTGGATAACCTTTTGTCAGAGCTCCCCACTATGACCTGTCCATCCTGGGTGCCCCTGCACAGCATAGCTCATAGCTTCACTGCACTGTGCAAGTCCCTTTGATCACAACAAGGCAGTGATCCATGATGGGGATTCAGATTGCTTAGGCCTGACTAAAACCCTGTGTGTGAAAACACAGTTGAAAGTTTTTGCTTGTTCTTTATGCCGTAAAAAAACGATTGGATGAATTTACTTGGACATTCATCTGTATGCTATACTCTGCTTTCTAAAGTCTGTATTTAAAAATAGTTAAGAACATATTTAGGAACATAGGAAGCTGTCTTGCGTCAAGTTGGTCCATTGGCCTTTTTAGCTCAGGATTGTCTGGCATCCTTTTCAGCTCTCTCTGAAGATGGCAGAAATTGAACCTGCATCCATGAGCTACAGCTTTTCCACTGTTGCAACTGTTATGAGGGCCACTTTGCGTCTTACACAATAAGTGGGATCACGAATGCTAATGTGATGTAGAGGTTAGGGTAATAGACCAGGATGAAGAAGAGCCTGAACTCCTTGGATGGAAAAGAAGAGAATGAATGAATGAATGAATGAATGAATGAATGAATGAATGAATGAATATGGTGGAGATATTTTTCTTCATGTTTACAATAACAAACTGCAAGTAGTCAAGACTAAAAACATGTGGATATGTATGTTTTCTAGGGTTTATCACAGTCATAGGCAAAAAGTAGTTTTTCGTATCATGAGAATAGGCTTTGAATTGTTCCTTCCTGTAAAGTATACTCATAGCCTAGCATGAGTGATTACGTCTCTCCTGTTCCTTGTCGCTGTTTCTAAGATGAAAAGTTATATATAATACATCGTTCATTCCTGTTTTGATTCAGTGCATTTTAAAAGCAAACAAAAGGAGTACTATCCCCCACAGCAGGCTCTGATGTCATTATTTACCACCAGGGGTAAACAATCCAATCTTATACTCGGTTACTAGGAACACAGCCCTTCAATAAATGTGCCAAAGATTGCAGCCTAAGAATATAGGGTGGTGAGTTCTTGGGTTTTCATATCTAGCAGAGGTAGAGCACTGACCACAAAATTCAGTTTGGATCCCAGTTTACTAACTGTAGTGATTCAGGGGTTCATGCCCCCCACTATCACTGGCAGTCAGCAGATAAGAACATAAGAAGAGCCATGCAGCTTCAGATCAAGGCCCCTCTTGTTCAGCATCCTGTTCATGCAGTGGCCAGGCAGCTGCTAACAGGAAAACCACAATCAGGACAGCACCTTCCCACCCAGGATTAAATCAATGATTGTAGGGGGAAATGCCTAGTGAAGAGCAGGAGTATTTTGTTTTCCAAGTTACATTAAAAAGATCATTGTGAGGTGAAGAACTCTCATAAACATTTAGGAAACTACCTGCGTATGCCGGTGGAACAAAATATAAAAAATGAATGGGACTGATCTTGATAATGCATGTCAGTGTGGTTTGTATCCTTTTTTTTCTGTCATGCCTAATTTCAGTTGAATTGATTGGGCAACAGCTAATAGAAAGGCTCTTTGTCTGACAAACTCAGCAGTGCTTTAAACATTTTTTAAAGAGGAACAATGCAAACTGGGTAGCTTATGCCTGAAAGTGGAAAAACAAACCTGTGGGTTTATTGGTCCCTCCCTTGCCCTCCCCTGCATATTATCGTAATCCTGCCACCCAGATGATTTAATGCCGTAGTGATCAAAATATGCGCTTTGAGGGTGTATCTTCTCTCTGGTCTGACAAGGACCAGAGACAACTTGCTGTACTTAATGAAAATCAGCTCCATGGCAGTTGAACATTAGAGATTTGGAGACCCCTTTGACCAATATGAAAAGTTGTCTTTTCCCAAGTATGAAGATATTACAGTAAGTAACTATAGCTTAGATAGTTCAGTGTTAAGATTGCTTAATTCCCTTTTGTCAGAGACTAAGTGCATTGCTGCTTGTATATTATAGGATAAAAAGAAACATTGCTTTAAAAATTCCCAAGTGGACCCCTAATAACTTAAGTACTACCAGACTTGGAACTTTGTGCAGATTACTTTGGTTGTTTCTAACCTGGTGCCACATCTTCGGTACTAGATTAGTATCTTAACTTTTCATTTGCATATATTTTAAATTCAGTTAAATGTTAAATGTAATTAATGAGTAGTACCAGATTTCGGGCAGCTGATTGCTTTTCTAATTCTATTTGGAGATTGAAATGTGTTGCTTTTGCTACAGGATTTTCCCTAGTTTGCCTGTTGCCAGAGTCTGACTCTGACCTTCTGGCTGTTTCAAAATCTCATTATGAATAAATACCTTTTGTGACGTACTATGTGAATACAGTCTACCATCTCAGAGAAATAATTTTACATTGCTTTAGAATCTACAAAATCTATAGAATCTACAAAATTTACAAAAATCTCTATTTGCGCTCTGTGCATTATTTGTATCTTCTGTGTAATTCTATTTTCAGACCTAGCAATGGGAGATATGTGCCCTTCCCTGACATCTACCATACCTGCTTAGGTTTTCCATATGCCTTGAATAGACCTTGAGCTTCTGTGCTAAACCTCCTTGGCCTGACAGGACAGGCTGTAGTAGATTTTGCAAGGTTTGGTTTCCCCATACACCTCCTTTACTTTTTAAAATCAAATTGCAGATTATCAAGATAGTGTATCTCTAACCCTTTTTCTTTTAAATTTGCCAGCATTGCAGAGCAGATGTTTTTGAATGTCGAACTATTGTAACCTTGCCGTCTTCAACTCTGGGCAGGCTCACAGGTTGTTCACCTTTGACTTTGGTGCCCTAAGCCAAAGTATAAGAGCTGCTGGATCAAAGCAGGGTGAGGCCACCTGGCAGATTCAGCCTCTAAAGTGATACTGTCTTGCCCTTCCATGTGTTAATCTATGCACAGTAAAAGATTTGTGCAGAGTTTCATTTCATACGCCATAACATCTCTTATGTATTTTAATAAGCATGTAATATGTAAATAGATGCATTGATGCAATATTATTATTTCATAAGCATATCTGCATATTTGTGAAACCCTTAGAGCAAGGATGTACAGAAAGTAGATATCCAGAAGTTTGAGACTTCAGCTCCCAGTATTCCTGACAACAGGCCATGTTAGAAGAGGATTACAGGAGTTGAAGTTCAGAACATCTGGAGAACTACCTGCTGCTCACACCTGCCTTACATTAAGTGATTCCAGCTGTGCAGATGCATTCACACAAAATAATAGCCCTAATGATGTGGAATTCTGAGTTAATTAAGCCGTGATGTAATATGCATATACCATTGACCCCAGAAATGCCTTAATCATGCATTAAACAACCCAGAGTTAACCTACAGTTAGCTTTATTTAACCTATGCTGTTATGTGCACACATGCCTATTGTATGAGCAGATCACATATGAGAAGAAGATGAGTAAGTTCTGTCTCCACTTCCCTTCCTACCTCCCTGGAAAAGAGTTGGCCCTCAAGAATACTGAACTTTGCCAGCCCTGTATTAGAAGACTGAAAGTATACTTGCCTGCACAACAAATCAAAGCAATAAAGCAGCTTTTCTTTTCTTCAGGGGGTTTCAGTCATTATGTGAAAATGATGAGTTATAGATTATCATTTATATCTGTCTTGTGCTCTCTACTTTTGCAATCTGCTAGGTTCAGAGCATCATTCGCTCCCAGACTAGCATGGGAATGCGCCATAGAGACCGTTCGACTACAGGGAACACCTTGAAGACAGGCTTCAACTCTGCATTGACCACTTACTTTTTTGGGGCTGATTTGAAGGGAAAACTGACTATCTCTCACTTCTTGGAGTTCCAGCGCAAACTTCAGCATGACATTCTCAAGCTTGAGGTTAGTGTTTAAAGTGGGAAGACTTTGATCCAGTCTTTTACCATACATGTAGACTTTTGTTAATTAGCCAGTGCCTTTGCTTTGGAAAAGAAATGGGGCCAAGCTTTAGCCATGGATTCCATGTTGGCATGTGACAACAGCCGGCTGCTGTGGACCTGTATCCCAAAGGGGCCTGCCACTGAGCCCCTAGTTTAAAAGGCAACTATGTCCAAGTACCACCATTCAAATTTCCTGCAGTACTGGTAACAGGGTCAGTGTGCGTAGATTTTGGAGGAATGGAGAAAGGATAGTGTAATAACATGCAGAATGAAGTTGCCTCATATGATATGGATTTCTCATTTGCAGTGGTGGTATTAATAAGGCTCTTGGCTAGAATTGGCTTGCTTTTAGTTGCTTCATATGACCCCAAATCTCAGAGGTGTCTGCAAACAATTGCATGCTTTTTCCTATGGGTTCAAAAGCCACATAAATTTCATTTACAACATTTTACACCCAAGAGGGATGTGTCGAGATGAATGCAGCTGAGCAGGGCTTCTCCTGAACTCTCGAAATCTGTATTAGTGCTGTGCAGTGCATGGTTTATGTCTAAATCAATATTCATTTAATCTAATCATAAGACTTACATGGCCAAAAAGAGCATATGCAAATTAAATTTCAAGTAATGTATGATAGTTATGATTTAGTGCTATTTTTGTTAATTAAAATGGCTTGTCATGTACAATTGAGCTCATAATTATCTGAAATTAATCTGTTTCTTTTTGAGAAATGCAATCAAGTGTATACTAGGTCAGATTACAATACTGTGTTAAGCAGATTATATTGCTGTGATTTTATTTGTCAGGGAAAAACAGATTTTCATATGGTAGAAGTTATTGCATCAGACTATCTGGAATGAAAATTCTGGCTTCAGTAGGTTGTTTTTGTAGCCCCCTGTCTCCATGTTTCTCTTACTCACCCAGTAAGTGTTTTTCATTGGCTTTATTAGAAGAAGAGCTGCAGACCCTACCAGGGTTTCTTATAGGATGTCAGTACTTCGCTCTTGCCTTTCCCTCCCCCAGGAGATGCTCTCATGCTGGCTGCAGGAAGAATAGCACTTTGAATTCAGAATCCTAGTGCCAACATCAGGTCACTTTCCCCATGACTGTCTAGATAGCACATAGTATTGCAACCTAAAACTGTTTTCAAAACTGCATTGGCTTATTTGCATTCTTTCAGTCAATATAGAGTATAGACACAGTTGTTGACAGGGTAGATAAAAATCAATGCCTTTAAAAAAAAATCTGATGTCTAAAATTTAATTCAGATTTTTAATTTAAATTAGATTTTTTAAATTAAATTATTTTGAGGGAAAATCTATCTAAAGATAGTTGCCTGTTTAAGAAGTATTATAGTCCAAAGGTTATTCATAATGAAATAAGGATTCATTTTTAATTATGTTTAATTATAGTCCATTAATCCATTCACAATGTCATGTTCTTCCAGAGGTGTCTGTAAAATTATTGGGCAGTTTTAATATCTAGAAGATATTATCAGAGATGCTTTGTTTTACAGTTCTCAAAACTGTGAATTTGTGTCTGCAGAGATCACATGCCTCTTCTTCATAGCAAAAGTGTTGTAAAATAAACATACAGAGTTGAGAAAAAGTCCTTACCCCATTGTTCCTTTGCAAATCTACTTACACAAAATCAACCCCATACCATTTAAGTGCTAAGTTTCAAAAAATTCGGGGAACACAAGAAGATTGTTGGGAGTGGAATAGATCTGCACAAGAAGCTAAGTGTGAGGAGGGAGGGGCAGGCAGTAAAAATTAAAGTGAAATCTTTTGAGCAGAATACTCCACAAGTCTTTGGATCATTTCATGTATCGCCTAAGGTTTGTCATATTAGTCTTTCCCTGGAGAAGATATTCTATAAAGGCAGCAGACCATAAAAGAGATGGAGTTTGGGAACATTTTACTGAAGTTCCTCTATGTAAGGCAGGCACATGTGCAAATTATGTAGAGAACCATGATTTTAATCTAGTCTTACTGACTAGTGTTTTAAAAATGATTTAAATTGATTTGATTTAAATCAAATTCACCCTGGTTGTTGACCTGAGTTACCTCTCTCTCTGCTAAGTGAATTTGCATTGTATTTCTATCTAGGATTTCTTAGATTGCATTAAACTGGAGTTCTCCCTAATCTCCAAATCATTATGGGTCAGTATGAATGAATGGCTGAACAAATATTGACCGTAATATGCATGCTTTTCCGAGCAGAAGCCTGAAATTGATATTAGACTTGATACCTAGACACATCAATAATTAATGCTTATAAATCTTGACTGTTTCCCCAATGAACAGAAAATGGCCAGCAAACTGCAATGAAAACCACAGCACATCTCAAGATGCTTATTGAACAATCTTTATGCATACAGTATATGGTTTTCTTGCAGGTGATAACAATTCTATCAACAGGGTAGAAAACCAGCTTGGTGAGCAAAGTTGTTATGACCAGGAAGGAAACTGAACCAAAACAAAAAAAAGATAGAGAGGGGAAATTGCAGTGCTGATATCGTTTGTCATACTTTACTGGCTCATCTATTGTTTTTGGTTTTGAATCATGCCAAAAAATGTCCTTTGCTTTGTAAAACATGGAAGTCTTCTAAATCCAGAGGTGGGTTTAAGGATGTATGATAAGTGTTTTTCAAAATATCGGCATACTGCTAGTTCTGCTTTCAAGTAGATTCATGGAAAATGGGCATCTTTTAATGTTCACTTGAACCACTAGGCAATTGTGAAGCTATTGTGTATGTGTGGGCAGAATCCAGTGGGATGTTGCCAGTTCCCCTGTACCCTGCTAATTGTGCAGCCCAAACAACTCCCACTAATCATGCAACAATTCCAGGGGCAACTGTAAATGAGGGAAAAACTCGTTTCTGGAAGGAGGCACATTGCTGGAGTTTGCATAAAGTAGTTTGGCTGACCTGCCCTCTACCAGAAATGACCATTTTTGCTAATTTCAAGGCTTCCCCAGGAAGCATTAATTCCGCTTGTGTCAGTGGTGGGTCCTGCTTACACAACAGAATTTGGTAGGACCCGCACAGGAGCAGAAATAAATCACAGAGGCATAAGTGCACCCTTGAATTCTGCCCTGTGTGTTTAATGGATATCTTGCCTTTCAGTATACAAGTTGTTCTGAGACATCTTAGAAATAACATAAACAGCAACAATAAAACCATAATAAACTTTTTTTTTCTAAAAGAAGAATTAAAATTCTTCTTGCAGGACAGATAGTAATAGATGGCCCTGTTGGGGGAAACACTGCAATGGGAACAGGCCCAAGTTTGTATCCCATACCTTTCTGGGATAAAATGATACCAAATAAGATTGGAACCTGTGAACTGGAGATTCAAAAGTACTAGGTTGTTTTTCGTTGTTCTCTCTGGGGCTGCAGAGGGAGAAGCTTGCAGATTCAAGGGGGCTAGGCAAGGTAGAGAGTGTATAGGATTACTTCGTGCAGACTAAGTTATTTTCATGCATGACTTAGAAGCTAAATATGCAATGCTTCTTTACATAACCTTTTTAATTGCTCATTAGTTTTGGAAACTGTTCATGGTTGCTATTAATTCTAGCATTTCATTCCAGACTGCAGTGCATTTGCAAGGTCAATGCTATGTCAGATATATCTCTTCAACACTGGGCATTCGTGAGGATCTTGCTGTTACCAGGAGACATCCTTCTTAATCCAGTTACTCCCCTTTAATTTTAAAAAATAACCTGTAGTGACCCAGGGAAAAGATGTGCAAATATTGGCAATGACCCAGGGATTTTTTTGGCAAGTTACTTTCCCTCTCTCTCCTAACAAATCATTTCACTGGACCACTGTCCAATTTTACTACCCTTGCTTCTAATCAGCCTTCACCTTCTTTGTCCTTGCTGGCTCTCGGTAGACCTCTAGTCTGTTCTGTTAGTCTGCACTGGATTGTTCTAGCCAGCAGTGGGGGACCTTTTCTCTGTTGAAGGCTGCATGCTGCTGGGGAGCGGGGTTGAAGTTACGATAGGTAGGACCAAAGTTTGAAAGTGGGTGGGATCACTCCTTCTCCCACCACCCCATGATTATAATATGGATTCCTTGTCTTTCTCCTTCTCCTGCCCCTGGTAGCCAGAGATGGAGCTTTTGTCTACAGAATACCATGGAGCAGGACTGTAAAGGGCTTTAACTTAGTTGTAAAGCACGTTTTACAGGCATAAGCATTCTGGAATCTTCAGTGAAATAAATTTGGAGAGCAGGGCTAGGAAATACCTTTGTATGAGACTCTGAAGAGTCATTTTCATTTAAACAGTATTGAACTAGATGAACCAGTGGTCTGACTCAATACATGGCAGTATCTTCATCTGGGAGTTTCTTGAATCTTTCTCGAGGTTAACTGAAAAGCGTGGAAGGCTGTACGGTTTATAGATGTCCTGCACTGTGCATCTCCTATCTCAGAGATTGGCTGCGTTCATTTGGGAGAAAAGATTTCAGAGAACTAGCTCTTATGAATTTGATTACGATGGGCTCCATTAGCACCAGTCACATGGCCAGGAGCAGGGGTAGTGGGAACTGCAGGGCCACGGGTTCTCCACCTGGGCTGTAGATTCTTGGAGAATGGAAAAAGGGCAACTTATCCATGCATTGTAGCATATAAGGAGCATTGCAGCACTTGTCATTTGGCCCTTGTCACTGTAAAACAAATGTTGTGCTATTATTCATTTGTCTTGTCAACTTTAATAGAATTATTTGCCTTGGTAACAAATACCAAGTGGTGGCTTTATTAGAAAATTCCTGTTTAATCTACGCTTTTTGACATCAATATCCAGCTAGAAATATGCAGCTAAACCTTTTCTTCCTTTTTTTCCTCAGCAATCATTTTGGAGATTTCCCCTTTTTGCCACCATTGTACTATAGGAGAAATGACCAAAACCAGTTGCTCTAGAATGCTCCCATGAGTGTCATTGGAACATCCTGATTTCTCTGCAG